GATCTGAGGCAAGAGCGGCATTGACAGAGCAGAGGGAGAGCTGGGAAACTTTGCGCATAAATAGGCCGCCAAATTGAGAGGGTGCGCTTGGTTAGTGATTATAGATAAGCATGTCATGTGTTTATAGCAGCGCCGCTCGAGTTGACCTGGCTGAACTAGCTTGCAGGCGTCACTCCTAGATCTGTATATTATAACATATTATATCATATAAAAATCTGTCAAAATCTTCTGGATCTGTATCTGTCCACATCCAAACATATGACCAACTTGGATGCCATATTTTTGTGCATTTATTCCAGTAGTATGGTGATTATTTGTAATAAAGTTTGAGAGCCGAGCAAACTGCAGGAGTTTCCCAGGAGAAACAACACAATGGGAGGGCGTCAGGAGATGGCCTTGAAATATGGGAGAAACCTGGGAAAACCAGGAGCGTCGGCCCTGTGCCCCCCCTGTTAGAGCATTAATAGTACACAGGTTTACCATTATTATGGAGAAGCACAAAAGCTTTATTTGTAAGATTTATTTTAATGTTTATATATGTTCCCAATTCTGACAGCTACGGCCGTGTGTGAACAGAACTTTGGGTACATATATATATAATATATCTCACGCTGTTTCACAAGTTTTTCAGGTGACAGATTTGTAAAAAGGCCATAAAGGTAATGGGAAACAGGCCGTAACCCTGTGCACTGAACGAGGGCCCATTTTTCATTTTTTTAACCTTAGAGTCAGTGTGGACATTGCAGCTGTGCTGTGTCATTGTTCCAACTGTTTGACAAATGAATATATCAATGAGGCACAGATTAATCTATCTGCAGTACAAATTGTGAGTGGCTGTTAATATTTATGATTTCACCGACCTTACAAAATCAACTTTACTTACATATGGTAAGATGCTAGAGCCAGTCTCCTGATGGTGTGTGAGTCATATTATCTACCTCGTACAGCAACCAGATAAAGGAAGCACTGACATCTTCATTTTCATCTTAAGCCTTTCCAACTGCGGCAATATTTCATCATGACACGACCTTACAGTTGAGAGCTGTCACGCACTATCTGAAGGTTCAAAACAAACGACTCTATCACGGTGTAACAAACGATGCAGTGTTTTCACGGGGCCGCCGCGTCATTATCTTGTTCAGCGATTAGCTCAGAGGCCAGAGGTCTCCACAAGAAGGTGTGAGGAAGAGGAGGAAGGGAGAAAAAGTAAAGAGACGAAGGGGAGAAAATGAAATAGAGACTCCACCGACTTCAAAGAGTAAAACGTAAAACTTTAAACCCAATGTCAGAATCAGAATGACTTTTAATAATATAAACCTGACTTTTCCACTTCCAGTTATTAGATCATTGCATCATAAAGAGCTTTTCCTCAGAGAAACCACCCTCATACTCTTTATGCTGTATAATGTAATGTATTATGTGTGGTTTAATTATATTT